ATGGCCCTGGAGGACCCCCCTCCGGCTCAGGAGCCCCCGGCGCAGCACAAACCTCCCCGGAGGTGAGCGGGGAATGGGCCGCATCCCCACGGCACCGCCCCAGCATCCCCTCACTGAGCTGGAGCAGGGAATCGGGGCTTTATTAATTGCACGCGTGATGGAGGGACAAACATGCCAGATGTACATTGTAGCTGCAGGCACAGGGGCTTGGGACCAGCTGTGTAGTCATCCCTGGGGCCCCAGGGTGCTGGGGCAGGGGGGAAGCATCGGGGAATGGGCCGCATCCCCACGGCACCGCCCCAGCATCCCCTCACTGAGCTGGAGCAGGGAATCGGGGCTTTATTAATTGCACGCGTGATGGAGGGACAAACATGCCAGATGTACATTGTAGCTGCAGGCACAGGGGCTTGGGACCAGCTGTGTAGTCATCCCTGGGGCCCCAGGGTGCTGGGGCAGGGGGGAAGCATCCAGGGTCCCTTCCAGGACCAGAGCAACCATTTTGGCAGCAGCAAGAGCTGTGAGGGAGGGGGCAGGCAGAGCCTAAAGCTGGCCACCCCTGAGCCCCACAGCTCAACCTCTAGTTAAGGGTGCTCTGAGCCCCAGGACAGCACCCATGCATGATCAGGTTCAGTGGGAGAGCTCAGGGAGCAGCAGAGGCCAGAGAGGGTCACAGCCACCCTTTCCTTTTCCCCGCCTGACACCCTGGCATGAGGCAAAACCCCCAGCATTCTGCTGCTTGGGGCATTTAATAAATGGCTTCATCCTGTGGCTCTTCACTTCTTGGCCTTCTTTTTTTAATATCTAAACACCTCTACATTTGTCCCAGAGCAGCCTCCTGGGCCCCAGGGAGGGGCTGGCTCTATCCCTGTAAGGATCCATGAGCTCCGCCCCCCCCCCAAGCTCCCCCACACAAACCCAGGGGTAGAAAGATGCAAAGGGAAGGTTGAGCAGTGTCCTGGTTGTTACGAAGGGCACAGGGGCCAGACAAGCCCCTCTCAGCACCCCCCAGCCCTAAGAGGGTCACAAGAAGGAACATTTGCTTACAATCTTTATTGAAGTCATACAAAAGTTGCCAAAAAGTGAAAAAATACACTATATACAAAACCATTTTCCTTGTAAGGAGAGGAGTGTCCAAGGTTAAAGAATTATCATACTGTGCTTTCAACTGCAGCCCCTGATTCCGCTTGTGGCCTTTTCTCTGTCTAAAAGAAAATAAAAGGTTTCAGTTTTAAGAGAGAAGACGCTGCCTTACAGCACCAGTTCAGGCAGCAGTTCGAGGTTTCTGTCGTTTGAAGACTTAACTGACTGTGTGCTCTGCTGGTCTCCAGCACCCAACACCATTCTAAAATATTGACCTGAATGGCTGTGGCCCAGGTGACAAGTATTAACCCCAGGAGTATTAAAAAATGCCTCAGGGGGAAAGGCCCTGTGCTGTAGTTCAGCCCAGCTCAAACACCCGGAGCATGTTTCTGTCCCACCCTGGGGGCTGCCCACCTCCACAGCCAGCGTCTTTCCACCCACGCAGTGTCAGACACAAGGGTACAACACCCATCCTGCCAGCCAGGGAGTACTCCCCGACGCCTCCGGGAAACTTTAGGAAGACCAGCAGGCATTAAAACCAGCACACAGGTACCAGGCACAAAACCATGCCTGAAAGAGTGGGAGAAAAACAAAATAAAGGACAAGACAAGACTCCTGACTCAGCTGCCCACCTCCTCTTCCATTTTTTCTGCAACCTCGTTTCCACTGGGGGCCGCATCACCACCGCCACCATTGACAGCCGGTTCTGGTTTAGATTTCTTAGCTTCATTGTCTCCCTGTTGAGTCTCCTCCTCTGGTTTCCTCTGAAGACAAAATTATTTAGTCTTCACTATGTACAAGTTTAAATATTTAAATTTTTTGTTTGTTTTAAGAAAGTCAGCATCTAGATGTCATCGCACATTACCTACTCAACCTCTGCTTGCCAGGTTCAAGACAGATACTCAAGTAGAGTGTTAAGATTTAGCCAAAGCTCTGAAGCTTTGAGGTCTCAACCACCAAGGACTTCCAGCAAGACATTATTTCAGCGCTAGTATCTGTAGTGCCGGGTTATCCTTGGTTATAATTTGGCAAGGAAACATGCGACTGCTGAGCCAGGTAGCAGTTCGGGGAGCAGATTTAGGACACCTACACCACTTTCGGTCACCTGTGTAAAGCAGATCAAAGCTGCTCTGGGCAAATCTGAACCAAACGAGGCCAAAGGAACACGGGCCGGGCTGTGCCGCAGCAGGGTACCCAATAAAAGCTAAGGTTGCATGTGAGTTATGTTTGCCAACAGTTCTAGAAGAGCCCATACACCTTTAACGGCCCCTAGGGCTCCATACGCGAGCTCTTGAAGAGGCCGTTTATCATTACTACCATTTGGCTGGCTTTGCTGTTTATCAAGTCCAATTCTCCATTTCCACTTGGAAAGCAGGGAGCCCAACTCAGCCTGGCTGCTGGCCCTTTGCTTAAGAT